ATCAGCAGTGGCCAGCAGGGATCGTGGACTGTCTGTAGACTGTCTGCCTAGAGCAAATGGGAAGCCAAGCAGGTCCCCTGGCAGTTGTAGCTGTGGCAGCAACAGCCCTGCCCAGAAGCTGTGTGCTGGTTGGGCCGGCCCTTCCACCCACGAGGCTGGGAGTGAGGTGCAGTAGGGTATGTTGGGGTGGGGGGGGAGGTGTATACGTGGTTACTTTGCTCCTACCCTCGTGGGCGGAAGGGCTGGATGGGGTACAATTATTTGGTGGGCCCCACTGGCCGGATGAAAGTGACTGGTGGGCCTGGTCTGACCCATGACCTGTATTTTGCCCACCCTTGGCTTTCAGTAAGAGCATTTTCAAATGTCTGCTCATTGCGAAATGGAAATCAATTCTTTCTTTCAACTTATTTGTGTAAAGGAGATGTGTAGATGCTATCACAACTGTGGCATAACAATGTCTGTGTGGGATTCATTAAGGCAAAGCTAACCATCTCCTCGGTATTTTTTCCAATCAAAATTGGAGCAAAGCATTTGCGGCTGCCATAGCAACATTTTTCATTTTGACCAATAACATTATATTGTTTTCAGGCAAACGCGTTATTCGATACCTAAGTTTTATTGAGTGAATAGAGTTAAGGAATAAGTACCAGCATGCATAGTAAAGTGTCTGAACAGATCTGGAGTCAGTTCTTCTGCCATTAAATCAGCATCTGCATTTATATCCGTTAGAGATTCGGGTCTATTATGATAAATTTTTTTAAGGATCATTGGTTTATTCAGTCTCAGAAAAATGTCTGCACTCTATTTTCATGTGTGGTGGTAAACAGGAAGTAGTCTAGAGAAGATATGGTTACAACCTGCCTCAAATTTATTGGCCATCTTTGTTGTAAAAAAAAAAAAAAAAAATTAAAAAAAAAAATTTGCATCTTTCTGATGAATTTTAGGATTTTTGCTCTGTTGATTTTAGTCTTTGGAAAGGGGAGTAGAGGAGGGAAGCTGGGAAAGCTTTATTGCTCAAATTTTCTTTTGTCTTCCTCTTAATGCAGGGGTATCAAACTTGGGACTGGTCTGGTGAGGGCACTGCATACAGCACATACCCTGGATTGTCTATGTGTACTGTTTGCAGCCAGCGTGTGCACCAGCTGTAGCCCTGCGTGCCATATACAGCATGCTCCAGTCCTATCCTAATGTGCTACATGCAGCATGGGGAGCCAGTCTGGGGTGCACGCTGCCTCTGCTGCTGGTGGCGGACCAACCCTGGCTTGATCAAGACCAGCCTCATATCCAGCAGCAGGGCTAGTATGCTACAGGCACCACATGCAGCAGGTGCCCCAAACTGTCCCCATGCCATGTGCAGTGTGCCAGATGGGCTTCATATCCCATATTCACCATGGGGCTGGGGCCAGCATGTGCATCATGTAGCAATCATCACTGTGGGCCAGATGCTAGCTTTGACACCCCTGCCTTGTTGTAATAGGTAATTTACGATTAAAACATCTAGTAAATTGGTCTTTAAACTAGCAACATGAAAGCATTGCTAGTATTTGTAAAATATGAGAGACATACATGGAGAGACAGTTTCTCATCTTCTTTAGACAGCCGTCTTGAATTAGACACTTTCACAAACTAGAATATATTGGATCATCTTCACAGCA